AACCGATGCATCACAGACTGCTGTTGGTGCGGTCCTTCAGCAGGTAATGAATGACAGCATTCAAACCCTCTGTTTCTTCTCTCGCAAACTGCAACCCACACAAACCCGTTACAGCACCTTTGGTAGAGAGCTCCTAGCGATCTAGCTAGCGGTCAAGCATTTTCGATACATACTTGAAGGAAGAAACTTCACTACCTACACGTACCATAAACCTCTCGTTTTGCCTTGAGAACATCTCAAAACAAACACTCACCACGAGAGAACCGATATTTAGATCTCATTGCTCAGTTTACAACTGACATACGCTACATCGAAGGGTCTGAAAACGTCGACGCAGGCGCCCTCTCCCGCATTGAGATAAACAACATAGCAACGATTCCAATCGACCTACAAGCCATTGCCTCTGATCAGCTATTGGAACCCGAATTCCCGAATTTTTCCAGTCTTCCATCTCTCAAATTCGTCACACTACCGCTCCTCAACTCTGACAGTTTCATTGTTTGTGACATATCCACAGGACGCCCAAGACCTTTTGTTCCTGAAAAACATAGACGCTCTGTATTCGACCACTTCCACTCACTCTCATCCCAGCATACGAGCGACTGCCAAACTTGTGTCACAAAGATACGTTTGGCCGAATATGCAAAAGGAGATACGCACTTGGGCCAAGCAATGTCTTGACTGTCAGAAGAGCAAGATCCACCGACACACCATTTCTCCAACTGGTATTTTTCAGCTTCCCAACTCACGCTTTCGAAATGTACACATTGATCTGGTTGGGCCGTTGCCCCCATCCAGAGGTCACACACACATACTCACCTGTGTCGACCGTTTCACACGCTGGCCCATGGCCATTCCGATCAACGACACCTCTGCCGAAAACGTTGCGCCGTTAACCACCTCTGCCGAAAACGTTGCTAGGGCCGTTAACCACTACAAGGTTAACGCACAAATCTAAAAAACTATAATCGCTTTTGCCAATTCGTGCCTTTTGTTGGACGAGGATATGACATGGAAAGGGAAGGATGAGGGTTGTCACGAAAAGTTCTGGGGGGCTGTGGGGGCTGTTCGCCTTCCAGGATGCTGCCAACGTGGCCCTCCTACGCTTGACTGGTAACGGTGAACGATATGGCGACTAACGGATGTCAGCGACGATCACGGTCTCAGTTTCTATCCAGATTGTCTGGGTGTTAGAAGGGTATACAAGTTTAGTGTTTTTGGTGAAATAGCGTTGGGTCCTTCTCCCCATCTGATTTATTATTTTCTTGTCAAATACTTTGACAAGGCTGTAGGGTAGTGAAGCACCAGTTGTTGTTGCTGCCAATAACAGCGATTAGGATGAGTTGTGAGGAATGTCAACTATCTTGGACGGACGCTTGCAACCCATTTCAATGAACTATTGAAGCCGTTCAAAGTATCCGGTGGACAGACACCACGCTTGAGTTTCCAGGCCTGGTTGATAAGCATGTGGATGAACCTAGGGTTTGTCATGGATTCTGCGACCGTGGTAGCCCGGCAGTTCCCTCCGTTCTTGCAAGCAAAATCAGCGCACTTATTCAGAAGTGCTGCATACGAGCCCCAGAGTGGTTTCATGTCGATTAGTATCGTTTACAGTTTCGGCTTTTTTCTTCTACTTCGTTATCTCTGAACTCTTGAACCTGTTTCGACAAGAACTTCAGCGGTTAGGGGCACGGTGTCGGAAGGGTTTCTGAGTCGGAGTGAAGGTACTCCATGTTCATTCTGGTAACGCGAATTCAGCCCCGGGGATAAGCATAACTCCCACGCCGTAGACACCACAAGCCGTTGTATTGGGATCACCAAACACCAGAAAAAAAGCGATAAATCTGGGGTGATCCCGACCGGTTTGGGATGCATGAAGAAACTAGGGTTTTGTATGCATGTTTCGAAAGCACATCGATCGATAAAGGGGACTAGGTCTGAGCAAGAGCTACCTGTCGCCCAAATTGACACAGACGTTGAAAGCAGCAATATGGAACGGATCCCCCAATCCTAATCAGGGTATACTTCGATATATTTTACTAGGCAGAACCTTAGATACTATGCAATGGCTAGGTAATTGGCAGATAAATAGACCAGGACATGAGCAATAGGACTGAGGTGAGGAGTCAGTGAATGGTGAGCTGTAGGGGCAAAAAATAACTCACGGTTATCCGGGCCGAAGGGGGTTTGGTTGAGGTAGTCCATCTTGAGCTTTTGACTCGAAATTCTAACCAACAAGACAGTGGGTAGACGTAGTGTCTTGTTAGTGGACCCTGAACCCAGCCTTTGACTCAAAAGTTTGAACCGCCAGGCAACGGTTGTTAATGTTTTATTGAGGGACTCTTTCCGGAGCCAAAAGACCGGCCTGGCCCGAGGGCTAAAGGAGTAAGACATCACTGTCCCACTCCAAATGCGGCTGTGTAAAGCAAGTGCCTTTTGAGCAAAACCCCCAACCTAAAGCTGCCACCTTGACGTGGTGGTCGGGCTTGAGTGCTGCAATGATCCCGCGGGCTACACTGGCTGGAACTTCGTTCCACAAGGTACAACCATGCCAGGAAGGCCAAAGGGGACCAGCCAGACCAAGAGCAGCGAGACCCCGCACTACGAGTAATCGTGGTACGAGGCGGTCTGGGGGTAAAGTCGTACTGTCCTCTGCGGCAGGAGTGTGAAGGCAGTAAGGTGTTCCCTCCAGGCGATCAGCATGTCTATATTTATGGAAGAAGCGGTGCTGCCTTCCCCCGAGGAAGGGCGGGTTAAAAAATGTCGGCCCCAAAAACCGCACACACCGATCGCCCAACGGTTGACCGTGACCGCCGGCGCATTATCCAATACGGTCGAAATACTTTTAAAGCCAAAGAGCCCGGTGCTGCTCAAAAGGCACCTACTGTGCGCAGCCGCATCAGAAATGAGACAGTAATGCCTTATTCCCTGCACCCTCGGGTTAGGCCAACCCCCTACAGCCGAACAGGTCAGACTACTGAGTCGTCGGCAGGGTCCACAAAGAAAACCCTACATTCCCCCACTGCCTTGTGGGTCAGAGTTTTGAGTCAGAGGCTAGGGTCAGGGTCCCCGAACAAAACCCTACGTCCTCCCATTGCCTTGTGGGTCAGGCTTTTCAGTCGAAGGCTCAAGGTGGGGTAC